GAGCTGCCGGAGCAGCCGGACCCCCCAGGCCACGCTGACTGGGCCTGAGGGCGGTGGACCCGCCTGCACGGCGGCCAGCACACACGCACTTGGACTTCTCCTCCCGGGAGAAACCCACTCCAGGCTGCTGACGCCTGCACTCCGAGGCCCTGGGCGTCAGGACGCTGAGCTAGGTGAGCCCTGTTCAACCCGAGCTGCTGGCTGTCACGCAGGACCCGGGGACGGTGACAGGTCTGCCGGGCAGGGGAGGGCGCGGAGCAGAGGACCCCAACTGTGGGTTAGAGGATGGAGAGACTCGCCTCAAACCTGAAGGGGCCGCAGCAGTGGGGACACCACGAGGCCCCCTGGAGCAGAGCCCCCCCAACCCGATCCCAAACCCAGCTGGTTTCTCGAGAGGCCATGGACAGGGTGACAGACTGTCCATGTGGGTGTGGGAGGCTGCTGGCTACAGGTCTGGAAGCGAAAGTCTACTAACAGTCCCCAGGCACCCACACTCAGAGCCGGCCGAGGGCGGCGTGGCAGGAGGGCGCCCCTCCCACTAGGAGTGCCACGTCCCTGTGGAGGCTTCCCAACACGCGGGCAGCACGCGCCCGGGCAGTAACCCGTGGGTGACTGGCTGTGCTATTAGCAGCTTAGGGAGATGGTAGGAAGAAGTCTCAGTTGCTCTTTTGGGAAAGAGCTGGAGGGCAGCCAGCCTGTTGCCATGGGAAACGGACGCACTAGAGGCAGGTCCTATTAGGGTTGGGACAGAAGCCAGCCACTCACCAACCTCCCTATTAAAAGCCAAACCCAAACCCACACCCAGTCCCGGTGGGTGAAGGAAGGCTGCCCCCTGGCGGCAGAGGGGGGAGCCTCCACCGGCCAGGAAGGCGGGTACCTCTGCTGCTCTGGCTTGATGTCGAAGAGCCGCAGCGCCCTCCTCTGCCGCGCGGACAGGCCCCGGGCCCGCCTCCTGGGCTCCCTGCCCCTCCGGCGGGTGAAGTACTCCAGCACCACGGCCTTGCGCTGCAGCTGGTCCTCGCGGGCGCTCTGGCTCAT